AAAACCCATTACTTGATATCAGTCTGTATAAAAGACTGAAATGGGAGCTGCTAAGATGTTGCATCAGTTCACTAGGCTGCTATAGTGGGAACTTTTGATTGAGACATCAGGATGGATTCATTGATGCCTCTGGTTAATTAGAAAACTTAGTCTCTGTAAGTGAAGAATGGGGTTTACAATTAGAAAGTCAAACTAATACATTTTCACTCCTCATTAATTGGACTCTGATTCACTAAATTACTTTTTTGATAGTAAGGCAGATAGAAGCAAGATTATGCTTAACTCTCCACTCATTATTTTCTTTTTTTATTTATTTTTTATTTGGTAAATATAAATTTTCAAAGTACAGTTAATGGATTACAATGGCTCCTCCCCCGCCCCCAGTGACTCCTATTGTTGACTTAACAATTTGACACTCTTGTTTATGGCGTAAGTAATCTCCCTAGGCTCTAGTCATGAGTTGCCAAAGCTATGGAAGCCTTTTGAGTTCACAGACTTCGATCTTATTCTGACAGGGTCGTAGTCAAAGTGGAAGTTCTCTCCTCCCTTCAGAGAAAGGTACCTCCTTCTTTGATGGCCCCGTTCTTTCCACTGGGATCTCACTCGCAAGGATCTTCCATTTAGGTCTTATTCTTTTTTCCTTTTTTTTTTTTCCAGGGTGTCTTGGCTTTCCATGCCTAAAATACTTTCATGGGCTCTTCAGCCATATCCGAATGTCTTAAGGGCTGATTCTGAGGGCAGAGTGCTATTTAGGACATCTGCCATTCTATGAGTCTACTGTGTATCCCGCTTCCCATGATGGATTGTTCTCTCCCTTTTTGACTCTATCAGCTAATATTAGCAGACACTAGACTTGTTTGCATGATCCCTTTGACTCTTAGACCTATCAGTGTGATCAATTGTGAAAACAGAAATTTATCACTTGGACTAGTGAGATGGCATTGGTACAAGCCTCCTTGATGGGATTGTATTGGGATCCCCTGACATGATTCTAACTCCACCATTTGGGGCAAGTCCGATTGAGCATGACCCAAATTGTACATCTGCTCCCTCTCTTATTCCCACTCTTGTATTTAACAGGAATCACTTTTCAGTTAAAATTTAAACACCTAAGAATAATTGTGTGTTAATTACAGAGTTCAACCAATAGTCCTAGAACAAAAAAAAATATTAAAATGGATAAAGTATTACACTGTACATGAACAGTCAGGACAAGAGCTGATCAAGTCACTGTTTCTCATAGTGTCCATTTCACTTCAACAACTTTCCCCTTTGGTGCTCAGTTAGTTGTCACCGATCAGGGAGAAGATATGATATTTGTCCCTTTGAGACTGGCTTAATTCACTCAGCATGATGTTCTCCAGATTCCTCCATCTTGTTGCAAATGACCGGATTTCGTTGTTTTTGACTGCTGTATAGTATTCTATAGACTGCATGTCCCATAATTTCTTTATCCAGTCTACTGTTGATGGGCATTTGGGTTGGTTCCAGGTCTTAGCTATTGTGAATGGAGCTGCAATAAACATTGAGGTGCAGACAGCTTGTTTGTTTGCCAATTTCATTTCCTTTGGGTAAATTCCAAGGAGTGGGATGGCTGGGTTGAATGGTAGGGTTATCTCCAGGTTTCTGAGGAATCTCCAGACTGACTTCCATAGTGGCTTAACCAGTTTGCATTCCCACCAACAGTGGGTGAGTGTCCATTTTTCCCCACATCCTCTCCAGCATTTATTGTTGGTAGATTTCTTAATGTGAGCCATTCTAACCGGGATGAGGTGAAACCTCATTGTGGTTTTGATTTGTATTTCCCTGATTTCTAGTGATCTTGTCAAGCACAGTTAAATCATACTTTTATTCATTCTCTCTGAAAATGAATAGATCTTTGAAAGTGTAGACATACAAATGTATCATCCTTTGTCATTCCAAGCAGGGTACAGTATGCTTCCTAATTCATTTGCTCTGCACAAGTGTGGCTCATCATTAGGATGACTCTGTTGGAACCTATCACCAGATACATGTTAGGCAATAAAGTGCATGGGTTCTGTAATCAGGAAGAAATGGTGTAAGAACTCCGTCTTCAAGAGGCAGAGTGGTGTGGTAACTACAGTGTAATCTCTGGGCCAGATACCTGGGTATGAATCCCAGTTTCTTCACTGGGATCTGGGGTCTCTCTGACCTTCAATTGTCGCATTTGTAACATGGGAATAATACTGACATTCTCCTCACAGATTTGCTGAGGATTTGGAATTTGTTAACATTTATTAAGTAATTTAAACAGGAGTTGACACAGAGCAAGTGTATGCTATGAAACAAACTTAATCTCCATACAAGAGGTTCTGATGGAGACAACTTTGCATTCATAGTCTAGCTCTGCCACTCACTAGTTCTGTGACTCTGGGCACAGAATTTCCCTGGCTTCACCTGTGCAGAAGACTCAATAGAAGAGTAAACAACCCTGTAGTGTTGTTTCCTGGCTTGAATGCATTGGATCATATAAAATAAATTCAAAGGACACAGCAGGTGTTGAATGTGAAAAAATATTAACTTTTATTATCACCATTGAAAGTGATAATCTCATAATTTATTCAGATTTTCCCACTAACTCAATGCACATTACATGAAACATTTCCGGACATGTTGTCATCTCCGACTTTCTTCCTACACATATAAAACTGCATAACCAGCCAACAACAAAATTCAACTCTAGAAAACTGAGCTTTTCATGAACTCTGGCTAGAGTATACACCAGGATTTCTCTGCCTTTCTCCAGACTCAAATGACATATTGTAACATCCCTTTCTGTGGTAATCTCTTATACTCACTCTATTCAAATATCCCTGTAAAATCTTGCTTATATTCAACTCTTCCAATGACTTGAAGTTGAAATATTCACTGTTGCTTTGTTAATTCTTCAAATACTTCCCCGATTTCTTTCTCTAAGTCTCTTCTCTCATATTCTAGGTTTATTTTCACAAAATACATATAAAATAACCACCCCCCCCCCAGCAGCCATCACAGGTTGAGGAATTCAGTAGAGATTACCCAGACTTCTGCATAAGATTTCCACCTAATTGTCTTATCCACCCTTTCTAGAACTTTTCCTTTACAATCCAAATAACCTCTCTTTTTGCTGTCTCTGACATTTCTACTTATTGTTGCCTTATTTTTAAATTTGCCATCTCTTAAAATAAGAACTAAGAATCTAATGGACAGATAGGACTAGCAATTTTGTTTCCCATTTTGTCATTTTATGTAAAATTTCTCCAAAAAGCCTCCCTTTTTTCCAGGAGAAGAATTGCACACTAATGTACTTTACCCCTTTCCTACGTGAACAACTGATGTGCAGAATCTAAACAATATAAAGCTGATCTTCTTTCAGATAATTACAAGGATTACAGATGTGCTGTGAAAGTTAAAGATCTCTCAACTTTATGTTGTAAGAATTATTTCTGACTGAATATTATTTCCATACAGTTCCAATATGAGCTTATAACTTGAATGCACAAAAGATTTAGAGATTTAATTTAAAGTCTTTTACCATCAGTTTTATTGAGGCAAAAATAACAAAAGCAGAATATGTTTAAGATATACAATGAGATGCTTAGATATACATGGAAAATTAATTACCCAAATCAATAATGACATATCTGTCATTCCACTTATTTACTTTCTAAAAAATAAATTTGTGTTGAGAATGCTTATGATCTGATTTCAGAAAATTTCAATTTTACAACGTAATTTATGTGTACTTGGATATTTGCCCATAAATGGGATTTCTGGATCCCATGGAAATTTCATTTTTAAATTTTTACAAGATCTCCAAATTGCTTTCCATACAGGTTGAACCAGTTGATATTCCACCAATAGAGTACAAAGCTTTCTTGTTCTCTAAATTATTATGGGACATCATTTGACTATTTGATGTTACCTAGCCTAACAGATGTGAGGTGATCTCAATGTCATTTTAGTTTTTCATGTTGGCAACAATTGGTAATGTGGAGCACCTTTCCATGAACCTATTGGCCATTTATCTTTCTTCTTTAGAAAAGTTATCTATTCAGGTTCTTTGATTATTTTTAATAGGGTTATTTGGATGTTTTTGCTATTGAGTTGTTTGAGTTCCATATATATATATATATATATATATATATATATATATGCTATTAGCCCCCTATGGAAAGAAGGGCAAATGTTTACACTCATTCTATAAGTTGATTTACATTTTGCCATGTTTTTCCTTGCTGTGCAGAAGCTTGTTAGTTTGAATTAGTCCCATTTGTTTATTCTTGGTTCTATTTATGCTCCTGGTGTCAGATCCACAGAATTATCACACAGACCTATTGAGATTTTCTCCTAGGATTTTTATGGTTTCAGGTCTTACATTTAAGCCTTTACTACATTTTGAGTGGATTTTGATGTCTGAAGATAAAAGTACAATTTCAATTTTTGTTTTTGTGTGTAGATATTCAATTTTTTCTAATTTTGTTAATTAAAGATAATATCTTATCCTCATTGTGGTTCTTTTCACTTCTGTTAAGGATGAAATGACCCATGTGTATTCATGGATTTATCCTGGCCCTTTCAACAATCTTCAAAAGGACTAAAACCCTTGAATCGGTGCACTCATAATTTGTGTGGATGTGTGTTGTTCTCTTCATCTAGTCTGTATGCATGAATTCTTTTGCCTCAAATTTCCTAAATCCCAAAGTGACTGAGTTTTCGAAAAAGTCTTAGAAGTCAGAGGAGATCAAATTGGGAAGAAAGTCACTGTGGTCCCTCCTCTCACAAATCTTTGCCTAACTGCTGAACACATTAGAGCACAGCTCCTCATCTCTCTGAATCAGAAAAGTGCCTCTTTTGTCCAAAGTCTCTCAGGAAAACTAGATGCTGAGTTTATAGATTAAGGGATCTTTTGATTCTCAAAAACATTTAAATATACTATTTCCTTTTGGGAAAACTAGAAAGGAGACTATAATTTTATGTTTATTTTTTCTATCCTCTAGAAGAAGGCTTTGAAGATGTCCCAGCTTCAAAGAAAGCTAAAGGTGAGTTTGTTGTCTTTGGTTCATGTGATTTTTTTTTTCCTGAAAGTTGTATTGGTTTAACTGTGTTGTTTATTTAGCTGTTCTTGATCTAGTCCTCAGATTTCCAGACAATGTTCACATGGTAGACTTTTTGTTAAACAAGTAAGTTTTCAACATTATTTAGAAAACATAGCCTCGGGCCGGCACCATGGATCACTTGGCAAATCCTCTGCCTTTGGTGCCGGCACCCAGAATTCTGTCCCAGTTGCTCCTCTTCCAGTCCAGCTCTCTGCTGTGGCCCAGGAGGGAAGGGGATGATGGCCCAAGTGCTTGGGTACCTGCACTCGCATGGGAGACCGGGAGGAAGCGCCTGGCTCCTGGCTTTGGATTGGCGCAGCGGCCATTAGGGGAGTGAACCAATGGAAGGAAGACCTTTCTCTCCGTCTCTCTCTCACTGCCTATAACCCTCTCTCTGTCGCTCTCTCTCACTGTCTAACTCTGCCTGGAAAAAAAAAAAAAGAAAACATATCCTGAGACACTGAAGACACAAGTAATTTTCAAGTGTATTATTTGGCCAATGTTTAGAATAATATTTCAAAAATTCTCATTTTATCAATGATTGTAAGAGTGTCATATTTTGTATTAAGAAATTTTGAAACAAGTCAGCCATATTAGCAGCACTATTATGAAGGGAGTGAGGGATTAAGAAAGGAAGGAAATGGAAAATCCTGTTATCTCCAAATGTGTAATCTAATAAAATCTTTTGAGGACAAATCATCCTCACTTGTGAAGTGAGTTTGAACTAACTCAATAATTTTTTTTGTTTCATTTGATTATGTCTGATTTCCTAGTTTGGGGTTGGTGAAATAAGGTATTTCCTATTCCATTTGTAAACTTGGCTGAGATAATATAAGAGTTTACCTAAGAATTATACTTGCCACTAAATTTAAGTTGTAGCAATGCCCAAACATAATTAACAATGTGTAAGAATATGATCTGAGAAAATACCTAGGGGGATAAGTAACTAAATATGAAAAAAGCTGACATTTACACTTGTATTTATATTTTTTATTAATATTTATTTTTATATTGAAATACTGAATTATTAAAAATAGCAATTATCAAGGCATGTTGCTCCTAGATCAGTGTTTCTAGACTTAATTGTAGAATCAAATCATCTATAGGTTTTGTTGAAATGTCTAAACTTGATATTTAGAATAGGAATTTACATCTCCCAAATGACAACTAAAATTACTGGTTCTTGGATTACACTTTGAAGGACAAATCTCTTGAATATGTCAAATACTTTGATAAAATCTATAAACCTAATTTTTTATGAAATGCTCTCACACACCTGCATTTTCTTATCATTTCTGGACTTTATAGAAACTCTCCCAATCAATCCACAGACACAAGTTAAGCATTTTTAATGTAAAAAGCAAACTTCATATAGATATCTTCAAAAGACTCATCATAGGTCAATACATAATGTATATGAAGACAGAACATGAAATTTCTTCAGTCATCTGAGAAGGGACTTAAAATTGTTTGAATAAAATCTTTCAGTTATAGCCATATTCCACCTTTACTATTCTGTATCAAAAAGATCTTCTGCAGAAAGGAATGTATGTTAGCTGGCCCTCATCTTTCAATACCCAACACATCAGGTTTACATTTTTTTCTTGAAGCCATTGCTTGTAGCATGCCACTTTTCCTTTCACTGGCTCCTCATCTATCTCTGAATCTTTTCTGTTAAATTTCATAAGGTACAAACGAAATCATAATGAAAACGTAGAACGTACTCATTATAAAGAGGATAGGTGACTGTACCAATTCACTATGCTCTTATTTAGGTATTCTTAGGCCCATGCATTTGTCAATAGCTGTAAGTGTATGAATTATTTATTTTCATATTTTTATATCCACTAGAAGAAGCTGAAGAGGTATCTTCTACAAAGAAGCAAAAGAGTAAGTCTATAATTGGATTAAATATGTTAAATAATGAATCAGTACTAAAGATGAAATATATAAGCTTAAACTTTAGGCTTCCTTTAAGAAGACCAGCATTAGAACAAAAATAGTTTTAGCATAAAACATGTAGAATAACATTCAAGTAGATCATTTATATTTCCACGATAATTTTGTTACTTACTATGTCAGGCAACAGGCACATAGTTGGAGGAATCATAAGTGATGAGGGAAGCTGCATTTATTGCAACCATTCTACATTGTTCTGATTCTGAGTACTCTAGCTGAATCCATGCTTAAATGTGTGCTAGTGTCTGCTTTACAATAGGATGACTGAAGTGTTATGCTCAACTTTTTTATATTAAGTAGAAATAGGTTTTAGCAATTCAATTTCTTAGAAACTTACTGCTAAGATTTAAAGCCCTTTTCTTTATTCTTCTAGATGCATGGCAGGCTCTTACTATCCAATCTTTGAGATGTTTGATTTTAGAATGCAATCAATATTCATATGCAGTTACAAAATTCAATGTCTAAGATCCTCATTAGTCCATTTCTTCCAAATTAGAGGCTTAGATGGAGATAATAAAGTGTTAAATTTTGTATTGGCATATACATAAAATAAAGTCACTGCTGAATAGATTAAATGAAGCAATTTACGAAATAGGTATAACCAGAATTTGATATACCACATTTAAAGCACATAACTAGACATTTATTAAGGAAATAAAGTTGTTGCATTCTGCAATGCTTCTTATATTATTTTGTAGGAAATTACTAAAATATCCTTTATAGTAGCATATGCTTCCCACTCTGTATAATAGTTGATTCATTGACCAAGTATTTAGTATATACTCTTTTCCATATTCTGCATCCGATACTGAGATAATTGTACTTGATAACAAAGACATTCATTATAAACTGTAACACAGGGGCCTGCACATGGCTCACTTGGTTAATCCTCTGCATGTGGCGCCGGCAACCCATATGGGCGCTGGGTTCTAGTCCCAGTCACTCCTCTTCCAGTCCAGCTCTCTGCTGTGGCCTGGGAAGGCAGTGGAGGATGGCCCAAGTGCTTGGGCCCCTGTACCCGCATGGGAGACCAGGAAGAAGCACCTGGCTCCTGGCTTCAGATTGGCGTAACTCCAGCCGTAGCGGCCATTTGGGGAGTGAACCAACAGAAGGAAGACCTTTCTCTCTGCCTCTCTCTCTCACTGTCTAACTCTGCCTGTCCAGCCTGTCCAAAAAAAAAAAAAAAAAAAAAAAGTAACACAATCAGTTTGTGACAAAAATCTAGGAAATAAGCAGTCTTATGACGCTTCTAGATATTATTGTAAAATAACAAGAAAAAATTGTAAGTTAACTGGGCATGTCTAGATTTTCAGGAAATTTTTCCGAATTGGTAATCAACTGGTAATAATTTGAAGCTATAACAGAAGCAGTTAAAATATCGTCCTTAATAAACAAATATTAAAGCATAATTCAATAAGATAGATGCACTGTATCAATGCCATTTTCCTGCTTTTGATATGGTAATATAGTTTTGTTAAATGTATCACTGGGCAAACCAAGTGTCCATACATGGGATCTCTGTTTTAATTCTTACAATTTCATGACCCAACATAAAACTACAAATTTAAAATCAATAAAACATAATTAAATATTTTTCATGAGAGGGTATCAAATATCTTAAATTCAGCTGAGAGTTTTATTTCATCATAATAGTATTTCCTATTTTAATTATAAAATAGGTGGTAATTTTGTAGCCTAATATTTTGATGAACATTTTACACTGATTCTAAAATTTGCAGCAAGAATTATATCTTCCTTAATAGTTATTCAACATCAGTTAAATGTGACAGACTAGTGTCCACTTCTGATAAGGCACAGCTGACTGGCCACCCATCCTTGATGCTCTTCCATCTTTAGCACTGGGTATTGCCATCCCTCCATGATGCAGGCCAAGATTTGTTGCTATCCATTTCTGCAGCTTACCCAAACACAAAGTTCTCCTAACCTCCACAACCTTACAGAAATATAGTTGGTTTTAATGTCTCTGTGTGAGGTTAGAACACAGAGAACATAATTGTGAATGAGATGTAGTATAAAGAAGAAGTACTAAATTTGAGATTTATACAATCCTTGAAAATCAAAAGATTGAGATCAAATAACATCCATGGTGATGCAATCTGACTAGCTTCCACTGCCCATACTTGCTTTATTCCACTTCATATGCCCTTAGCTTTACATAGACTTGACTGTGTTCCCCATCCACCATATAACACTAGATTCAATTATTTTTTCCTGGCTTTCAGTAATGAGTCTGTGTTTGGTTGGTAGATTGTAAATGAATAGGATTGAAAACTTGGAGCAGTCAAGAGGCACCTACAAAACATACAAGGAGGGGTTAAACTTAATTTCTCTCCGTCTCTCTTGCTGTAGCTCTTGCTCTCCCTCTTCTTTACTTTCGCTCTCATTTCCTTATATTTTCTTTTTGCTTAGATCCCTCCAGTTTCTCTATTCTTTATTGTGAACTATATTCAACCCACTGTGCTGTTCTGTGTCTGGATATCCATTATTCAACCTCTCTCTCTGTCTCTCTTCTCTCTACCCTTTACAGTCTCAATTTGTTTTAACTTCCACATGTGGGAGAGAAGATACTGTATTTCTCTTTATGTGCCTGGTTTACTCTACTAGACATATTGACTTCCAGTTCCATCCACTGTTTTGCAAATGCCAGGATTTAGTTAATTTTTATGACTGAATAATATTTCATTGTGTATATATACCACACTTAATTTATCTACTCATCCATCAATTTGTTCATAGGCTGATTCTTTATGTTGCCATCTCTTAATAAAGCTACTACTTGGGTATACCAGCTCATGAGTTTGGGGTTTTGGTCATATCTATTGTACTGTACTCCAGTGCCTTGCATTAACTCTCCTTTGTTGCTCTCTATTCAAAGCTACCACCTGGGTGCATTGCCTGAAAGAGTAACTAGGCCACCTTGGAAAGCTCTTGACTCCACAGAAAGGGCAAGTGGAAAACATCACCACTTTAGGATCAGCAAGCATCTCTGAAACATTAAAAAATACACATGAAACAAAGTCTGTTACTATGCATAGTGATAAACTCATATTTTGAATGCTACTTCTATGTAATAGTCCCTCTAATTAGTATACACATCACAAGATTCTTATATGCTAGGTATATTGACTTTTTCTACTAGGCCAGTTTCATTGCCATTTATTAAATCCTTATATTGTACCAGGAATGAATTTAAGCATATATGTTACTTCACTTAATTTTCACATTTTTTCCACGAGGTTTCTGTTGTCTTAACTTCATACATAATGAAACCAAGAAATAGTAAGGTTTAATAACTTTTTAGTAGTGTATGAAGACTGTCTGACTGCAAAATCTAAAACCATATTTACAAAATTATATCACCTTATTGTTCTTGAACTCTGTCTCTGTTCATGTTCTGTTTTCACTCCCTATTCCATAGGTCCCATCAGTTTCTTCCAATGTGTGTATCTAGATGGATACAATGGTTATGGATTTCAGTTTCCTGTCACTCCTGCACAATACCCTGGAGAAAGCTCTGGCAAATCAAATTCTCCAGGACCGAAGCAATAAGGACAGTAGAGACACATGAACAACCTGTATAAGTTCTTTAGGTTTTTGAAAATGGTATCTTCTGTTTTGTCTACAAGTGCAATTGAAATCATGTGATGCAGAGAATTTCTTGGAAAACATTTTACTCTTCGCCTGATGTAGAAAGGAAGTGTGCATAAATAAATTGAATAACAAGCCAAAAATGTTGATGGGTTTGATGCTCAAGGATCTATTATTAGCATTTGCTGCTATGGGAAAGGGATGCTTGTATTTTTCTGTTTCTGCTCATTGTAAGATCGTACTTGAATTAGCTTAAGATTAATAATATCAGTCTTTTAAATGTAATTTTCACAATTACAAAACAAAATTCCTTGTTTCAGTTAGATATTTTTAAATGATAACATGGACTATGAGCTAAAAATGTACAGGAACTTATAAGAGCAACTTCTTTGTGAGCATGTGGGTATTTTACTCAAATTACCCAGTAAGTTGATCTTAACTGCTTCATTTTATTTAGGTTTATTTCTATTATATTTGTGGCTATACTATAAAATAGGCAATAGTTACAACAAAAGTGCTGTAAGTTCCTGGTGAAACTACTTTACAGCTCAAAATACTTCTGAATTTTATAAAGGATAAGATGGAGAATAACTGACAAATCTTACTTCTAAGATTTGTCATGAACTGCAGTTAGGAATTTACTCTTGTGGAAACAACCGATTAAGTCCAGCAAATCTGGTGAATCATTTGTTTAAAATATAAGCAAATTAGAAGTGGAATTTTCAGATTTCTCCAAAGTGGACCTTAACTAAAGTGTCACTTGATCAAAATTTTAGATCAATCAGTAAATTTGGATGACAAATAAAAAAATCTTTTTATTTCATATTAATGCATTCTTTCTGTGAAATTAAATGTTATTCTTCCTCAAAATGGAAAATATGAATGCCACAGAAGTTTGAGGAAGACATTTTAATGATAAGCACATTCTTGAAGTTTCTTACTTATTTAGTCATCAGTGCCAATAAAATGGATGGCAATTTATAATCTACTTATGAGTCATCACTGGTATGACTATTTTGGTTCTGTCATCTTTCTAGTGATAAAAACACTCTTGTTCTTTACTGAACTTTTCTATAAACTCTAAAATTTATGTCTCTGTGACATTTTCTCATGTTTACAGTTGCAGTTGAACTTATGACAAAAGAACTCAGGAAATAATTGAGTTATCCTTTCTGGTATTATAATTAATTAAGTTCAGCAAGGACTGAGCTTGCCAGAGCCTCCTCTAGCCAAGTGATTTATTCTCAAGGACTGCCACCAATCATGGTACTTCAGGTCCAAGACACAGTTTTACTAAAAATCATTAGGCTGGAGCATTAGTAACATATTCATAATCAACAATGGATTTTTGTGAAAGAAGTTGGCCTTGGCTGGATGCTGGTGGATCTAATTCACTCCACAAGAGCCAACATAACAAAGAACCAGGCTAATGACACTTTATCATGGGGGCAACCTGGAAGTGTACAATTTCAGGACTGACCAGATGATACCATCTTACAAAGCCCTTTCATGTAGTGATATTAATTTATGGCTAGGACAGTGGATAAAGTTCATGCTCAACCACTCCTCCACGCCTACTCAATATTATGGGTAAAAGAATTGAGAACAAACTGTATGATAGCTGTTCTAGATTTTTGTAGAACAGAATACTTCATCCATTAATTCTACCATTCTATGACTATTTTTTGAGAACTTACTCTTTGTCAAATGCTGTGTTTCGCACTGGAAAAATACAAAATAAATTCTATTCCCAGTGCTATCCTGACACAATGTGTGACTTTGGAAAACTTATTAAACAGACTATGTTTGTTTCTCTATGTGAAAAATAAGGATATGAAGGTAAACAGCCTAATACTTCATAGAGGTACTGTTGAGATTGATAAAATACCTTGTCATAGATATGACATTAAGACATTTCTGAAATATATTTTCAGATATGGCACTAATTTTCCTGCTGAGTGCTTTTCTATATTACATTCTTGTTTCTTTCATTCTCATTATGAAAAGTATTTGATACAAAGTAAAAAATGACATGCTTTCATTGTAATTAGAATTAAGACAAAGCAAATATAATGTAAACAACATTAATAACTGTTAAGTTTTATCTGATTAGCATTAGAATGATGGTAGCATTTTAAAATATTATCTAAAATGTCATATGTTTGTATGTTTCCATGAATAAAATATTTCCAGTCCTTTCAAATTTGCTTCTTTGCAATTTAAAAAAGATAAATGAATAAGAGTCATTGTCTTTAATAGTTCATTCATAATTCATGTTACCTTGGCCATTAATATATAATCATTTATTAATTGTTTTATTTCTCTATTTTGTCCAGTTTGTTAAAGCTACTCTCCTCACGCCCTTATTCTTCCATACCTGTCTCCCAACTTTTATAGTAGAAAGTCTGTAGAAAACATTAATCAATTTTACCTTAGGTTTCACCTTCATAAAGCCTAATAAATCATAATTCAAATGGGGCAAGAGTATTTTGGAAAAATCCCATGAAAAGCATTTGTTTGTTGACTCATTCTGATATATCCTTGTCAAAAACTCTTTGCAAAATATTTCAGAAAATGATACTGCAGGCCGGCGCAGCGGCTCACTAAGCTAATCCTCCGCCTAGCAGCGCAGGCACACCGGGTTCTATTCCCGCTCGGGGCGCCGGATTCTGTCCCGGTTGCCCCTCTTCCAGGCCAGCTCTCTGCTGTGGCCAGGGAGTGCAGTGGAGGATGGCCCAAGTGCTTGGGCCCTGCACCCCATGGGAGACCAGGAAAAGCATCTGGCTCCTGGCTCCTGCCATCGGATCAGCGTGGTGCACCGGCCGCAGCATGATGGCCGCGGCGGCCATTGGAGGGTGAACTAGGCAAAAGGAAGACCTTTCTCTGTCTCTCTCTCTCACTGTCCACTCTGCCTGTCAAAAAAAAAAAAAAAGAAAGAAAGAAAAGAAAATGATACTGCATATTTAGGAGGTCAGTTTATGTCTGAGTAATTTAACTGAGAAAAAAAAAGCAAATGAAATAACAAATATTGCTGATTAAGAACATTCACACTTGGCTAATCCTCCGCCTGTGGCACCAGCACCCCGGGTTCTAGTCCCAGTTGGGGCGCCAGATTCTGTCCCAGTTGCTCCTCTTCCAGTGCAGCTCTCTGCTGTGGCCCAGGAAGGCAGTGGAGGATGGCCCAAGTGCTTGGGCCCTGCACCCACATGGGAGACCAGGAGGAAGAACCTGGCTCCTGGCTTTGGATTTGTGCAGCGTGCTGGCCATAGCAGTCATTTGGGGGATAAACCAACATAGGGAAGACCTACTGTCTAACTCTGCCTGTCAAAGAAAAAAAATTCAAAGAATATTTAGCTAAATTGGACCATACAGAGAACTAATTTCTAGAGAAACTCAGAAATTTATTCAAATTCACTGATTACTTCAAAGTCAGACTTACAGCCTTGGTAAGCTACTTCCTAAGTATCTTTGACCAAGTTCCTCAGGGTATTTTTATGAATCTTTGCCAACATCACAAACTTCATCTTTAAATAACAAATCTAACCTGTGCTAGCAATGCAACTCTATTTTTGTCCCCTGAAAAGTATCTTAAAAGCATTTCAAGATTTGGCAGCTTGCAGATTGAAGTGATGTACTATGCAAATTATATCTCACCTACCTGAGTCCAGTAGAGTAACCCCTAGGTAGCTCCCAGGGATTCATATGTGTTTGCTACATTGCACAGGCACAATGGCCCCACTTCTGCATGAACTGTGCCACACTTGTCCACTACCTTCTGGAATAGCCTGACTCAGCATAGCCTCTGGAGACCAGTACATTGATATCAATAGCTTATGTGCCAGAACTCTACTGCCAGGCAGATAAATGGACCACACGTGCATTGCCCATGGAGACTGACAAGTATATTCTTGCCAGCATGCATGTGCACTATGCCCCATCTGCCTGGTCCCCTTGGAGTTCCTACACAATATGCACCCCCTGCACATTATTATGTGTGCCTCTCCTATGAAAGCTGATAAAGTGTCTCTAGTTCCACATGGCTCACTGTGATGTATGAATACTTTGACCCAAGTATCACATTCACTGTATCCCAAATCCATAAATTATAGCCAAAAAAGCTACACAGAAACTAAACTTTGGTGTCCAATGGGAACCAAATACAACACAGCCTACGAAACTGACCAATTGTTGGAAGAAAGCCTTTTGCTATGTGAAATGGACCACTGTCAGTGTAGGAACACAAGAATTATTTTAAAAAGAGAGTAATGTGAAGCCCCAAAAGGAACACAGTAAATCCCAAGCAATAGACCCCAAGAAAAGGAAACCAATGAAAGAACATCAATTTAAATTGGGATTGACTCAAAGGAATGACTGTGAGTAAAATCAATGGACTATGAGTGAATACAGATAATTCAATGAAATTAGAAAAACAGTTCATGGTGTCAATGAGAAATTAATTGAAGAAACTGAGATAATTAAAGAGAACAACCAAACAAAAATGTTGGTGCTGAAAAAGTCAAACATTCAATTTAAAAAATATAGTTGAGCTTCTCAACTGACTAGATAAAGCTAAGAAAGATTTTATTAAATTGAAGATTAGTGTTTTCAACAACCCAGTCAGAAAAAATAAAAAATTTAAAAAACTAATAAAACCTCCAATATATATGGGATAATATAAATGAACCAATCAATATTATTAAATGTAAATGGGGAAATTAGGTAATTAAAGATATAGACAGACTGAATAAGTAATAAAACAAGTCCCAAAGATATATTGCCCACAAGAAACTCAATCAGTAAAGACACACAGGAAATGGAAGTAAATGGATTGGGGGCAGGCGCTGTGACTTACTGGGATAAGACCCTGCCTAAAGCGCCAACATCACATATAGGTGCCTGTTCGAGTCCTGGCTGCTCCTTTCCAATCCAGCTCTCTGCTGTGGCCAGGGAAAGCAGTAGAAGATGGCCCAAGTGTTTGGTTCCCTACACCAAACGCAGGTGACCCAGAGGAAGCTCCTGCCTCTTGGCTTCCTATCAACCCAGCTCCAGGTGTAGTGGCTATTTTGGGAATGAACCAGCAAATGGAAGACCTTTCTCTATGTTTCTCCCTCTCTTTGTCTGAATCTCTTTCTCTTAAATAAATAAATAAAATCTTTATAAAAAAGAAAGTGATTGGAAAATCTATCTTTTAATTTTTTATTTTTAATATTTTAAAACTTTTTATTTATGTAAGATGGAATCATTTAGGAGCATAGTGAAATCTATAAGGCAATAGAAAGCAGAGTTAGCTACATAAGATAAAACATATGTTAAGATGGCGGAATAGAGAGGGAGGGAGCACAGCGAAGCTCCACTAAGGGAAGGTTCAAAGAGGGATGAAAATTTGTAGTTTTTAAGCCCTTCCTGAAACTGGGGTGATAGGGTGGACACGCGAGGAGGACGCGGACGCCTGAGACTCAGGACACCAGCAGGAGCGTGTACACACCAGCGCTGGAAGCCGAGGTGAGATGGGGCGCTCACCCAGCACCGCGGCACAGCTGCCGCCGCCCCTCCCCAACACACCCTGGGATGGACACTGAGACATGCACGACTGAGTGGGGGAGGAAATAGAAAACGGAACAGAGTGAGTGGCGCCGGCGGAGAGAGTGCACGATTCAGGGATACTAATTGAGAGACTGAGTAAACCAGTATCTCTTGGCGCCTCCCCGGAGCCCCAGCGGGCAGGAAGCAGCCATTTTGTTTGTTTACATTTGGGCTTAAAGGAGAACTATCTTTGCCTCCACACTAACCTTCGGAGGTGGAGCCCAAAGGTGGAGCTGAGGGTGCTCGAGGGAGGGCAGCCCAAAGCCCTGACACCCGACTACTCAAGTTACTGAATAGCGCCTCCTGGTGGGGAAAAAGCACAGGATCCAGAGCTGCAGTGGGCAGAGAGCAGCCATCCTGTCTGTTTACCTGTGGGCTCTGTAGAGCAGCCTGGTTACACTGGATATTGGTAGAGACTCACAGCAGCCTATAGTAGAGGGAAATCAACCCGAAAAATCACCCAGACAGAATGCCAAAAAACAAAACCAAAAACCAAAAAAATATAGAAGATAATATAAATTTGCCAATGGAGCAGGCTAAACCAACCATAACAGAGGCAGATGAAGAAGAAGTTGAAAACATGCCAGAAAAAGAATTCAGAAAATTAATAATCAGAATACTTAGAAATAATGAGAAACAGTGTCAAGAGCTGAATGAAAAACAAGCCCAAGGATTAGAGATCTTGAAGAGAAGCCAGAATGAGATACTAGAACTGAAAAACTCAATTGACCATATAAAAAACACCGTGGAATCCCTCGTAAATCGAACAGATGAAATAGAAGACCGAATATCAGAATTCAAAGACAAACTTCCAGAAATAATACAGTCAGTTCAATCGCAGGAAGAAGAAATTAAAAAATTAAAAAACACGGTTGGAGACCTACAAGATTCAATCAAACGGTGTAATGTTCGGATAATAGGAGTCCCTGAGGGGGTGGAAAGAGAGAATGGATGTCTTCAACGAAATAATATCAGAAAACTTTAAACAAAGGCAGCTGGATAACAACACACAAATACAACAGATAGCCAGGACTCCGAACAGAGTAGACCAGAAGAGAAATTCACCACGACACATTGTGGCAACACTCAGTTCAGTGACACACAAAGAACAAATCCTAAAATGTGCCAGAGAAAAGCGACAAATCACATTCAGGGGTAAGTCAATCAGACTCACCCCAGACTTCTCATCGCAAACACTACAGGCAAGGAGACAATGGCATGATATATTTCAAGTTTTAAAAGACAAACAATGCCAACCTAGAATACTATATCCTGCAAAGCTATCATTTATGAATGAAGGGGAAATAAAGATCTTCCACGACAAACAGAAACTGAAAGAATTTGTATCCACGCGTCCAACCCTACAACACTTGCTCAAAGACGTGCTGCACACAGAAATACAAAAACAAGAACTTCACTGCAAAAAAAAGCGAATGTAGAGTAACCCACAAACAAAGTTCAAAATACATAAACAGCTCGTTTCAGGAAACATGAAGGGGAAAAGACAGTACTTAAGAGTAATCACATTGAATGTGAATGGTCTTAATTCCACGACAAAGAGACACAGAAACTAACTGAGAGCATAGGGGAAACCCTTCAAGATATTGGAATAGGCGAAGAATTCCTGGAGAAGACCCCACAGGCACGGGTAATCAAAGATAAAATAAACAAATGGGATT